CCGCTTACAAATGGCGCCCGAACAGGGACGCGGAGTTGGGCCCTGGTCGCAGGGGACCTGTGGATTATAGGGCTCCGATAAATCGTCTGGGGAAAGCACAGTGCCCCACTAGCGGGGACCGTGGGAACTGCCCTGTACTGTGTCCCCAGGAGGAGTTCTGGGAGGAGCAGGATAATCTAGCGGTATACTGCAGGTAAGGATGGCACCGGCAGATAGGGCCCCGATTCTGAGGAGGCTTCCTTTCATAACCACTAGCGGGGACTTGTGCTATGTTTTGGCAATACTCGATCCCACACACCCCAAAAAGACAAAGGGCCCCCAAGCGGGGACCCGGAGATATAGGGCCCCGACTAGCGGGGACCCGGGATACAGGGCCCCGGTCGACATAAAATGTGGGGGACGCCTGGAGCAACTCCTGGGTTTCACCTCCACGGCCGATGGGCACAGGGTTCTCCCCACGCCCCTTGTAGTGGGAGTAATGATGGACAGGCAGAAGGTGCCGTGAGGGTGTCCCCTTTCCCTTGACCTCAAGAATTACAAAGAACTGATAACCTGGACTTTGAAAAGGAGGGCCAGAAAGTATATTAGAAGGTATACGGGATAAAGGGTTGAAATCCTACAGAACTTCCTCTTGCTTTTCTTACGGTGCCTGACCTTCACAAAAGATGGGCGCCAAGGAAGCTGCTTACAATAAAATGGGGGATCATGCCTGAGGTGTATACAATACAGGGCCAAACCACACCTCTTGCTCAGTGACCCTCAGTCACGGAGGAGCAGGCGAAGATGGTATAATAGCGGCCGGATACAGCGCGGGCCAATGCTTCTGCGTTGACGGATTTGTTCTTTCCCCCCTCCCTCATTCTGCTGGCGCAGGATCACCCTGTAGCCGAATCCCCTGTCCAGCTCACCACCAAAGAGCCAGACTTTACATCCTCTGCTCCCGTGAGACCTCAGCGGTCCCAGATTACAGGACGGAGGAAGAAGACAAAAGCCATCCGGCACCACTACTGCAATTTTCGTGCTCACATGTGGAGCTCAGCGATCCTGTGATTACTACAGTGCATTTGCCGCAGAAGCTCTGATTTTAGAGCGGGACCAAACGGAGCCACTGATGGGGGAAGGCAGCCCTTTTACAAGGATATCTACAGAGGTCTCCAATGATGGGGTATAAGAGAATTTTAACACATCCGTCACCGTTTGCCAGGCCTCCTTAACTATTTTGAGATCAAGAGCTTCCCACTCTTTAGCCCCCTGCTGTGTAGTAAACACAGGATATGCAGAAATGCCCATTGCAGAAAATTCCCCAGTAATGTTCACCTCTTTGGTTACCCATTGTTACAACTGAGCGTCTCCAGGGCCAGCAAGTCTGAGCAGACCGACCCGGGAGACGAAGAGTCAGGGTCTGGAAGCAGAGGATATAAATCTGGCTCGGATTCAGGGGATTCGGGGGCTGATCCTGCGCCGAACTCGGGGTCTCCGTTGCTCGCAGCTGTGTCTTTCTTATCAGATGTATCTCGTTCGGTATGTAGCCATCTGCAGACCTGGCTCCTCCGTGACTGAGTTAAAAGTTTTTTCACTCGAGGGCGTAGTGGGTTGGAGAGGCTCGCGGCTCCTAAATCTCCCGCTCGCGCATGATCCCTATTTTTTTTTACTGCGTGCTTCACAGTGGCGCCGCAATCGATCCGGCGCCGAGGCACCGCCCTTTTTCTTTCGGATTTCTCGACATTTATCATGCGTATACCTTCTAATATACTTTCTCTGTCCTTTTCAAAGTCCCTACTTTCGGAACTGGGGTGGTGGGGGAGCAGGGGGTTACACCTCCTCCGCGGCACCTTCTGATGAAGGGGGAGAAAAGGAAGGGGGGGGTGCGGGGTGGGAAACCCTGTGCTCCCGCGAGTGGGGGGGGGGAAACGAGTTGTAATCTTCCCCCGGTTTCAACCGACCGGGGACGTCTGTTCCTAGTTTCTCCGTTGCTACCGCGGCAGTTTTCTTTTCTGCCTTGTATCTTTTTATACAGTTCATTACTTCCCTCCGTGGTTTACCGAGTTTGCCTTTTTATAATCATTAAGCACAGAGTCAAATAGTTCATCACCAAACTTTTGCCACTCACTCTTCTCAAATATTGTATTAGGATCTGCAAAAAACCTTTAGCCTTCCTTACAGGCAGTAGACCTGCTAGCTGCTTTAGAGTCTCAGGCTCAATTCCCCGCTTTTATAAAAAGCACTGTAAAAAGTTCAGGGCTCAGTTCCCCCCTTTTGTAAAAAGCACTGTAATAAGTTCAGGGCTCAATTCCCCGCTTTTATAAAAAGCACTGTAATAAGTCCAGGGCTACCTCTCGGTCCATTTTCATGGCCAGCCTTTTCCGGATCGTCTTCTTCTGGGTCGTCCTGTAATCTCGGTCTCCGGATCGGCCTCCCGACGCAGCAGTGTCTGGTATACCCCAGCGGCGGACTTTTTCGGCTAGTCGCAGCACCCGGGTCCGTCACGCCACCGCAGCAGCATTGCCCGCGCTGCCCGGCCGCTGCCGCCAGCGCCGCTCTCTGGCCGTTCCGGGTCCCCGTCGACCGGGGCCCTGTATCCCGGGTCCCCGCTAGTCGGGGCCCTGTATCCCGGGTCCCCGTTGACCGGGGCCCTGTATCCGGGTCCCCGTTAAACCGGGGCCCTGTTAAACCGGGTCCCTGTATCCCGGGTCCCCGTTAAACCGGGTCCCTGTATCCCGGGTCCCCATCGGCCGGGGCCCTGTATCCGGGTCCCCGTCGACCGGGGCCCTGTATCCCGGGTCCCCGCTAGTCGGGGCCCTATATCCCGGGTCCCCGTCGGCCGGGGCCCTTTATCCGGGTCCCCGTCGACCGGGGCCCTGTATCCCGGGTCCCCGCTAGTCGGGGCCCTATATCCTGGGTCCCCGCTAGTCGGGGCCCTATATCCCGGGTCCCCGTCGGCCGGGGCCCTTTATCCGGGTCCCCGTCGACCGGGGCCCTGTATCCCGGGTCCCCGCTAGTCGGGGCCCTATATCCTGGGTCCCCGCTAGTCGGAGCCCTATAATCCGGGTCCCCAGCGACCAGGGCCCTGTAATCCGCGTCCCTGTTCGGGCGCCATTTGTAAGCGGCGAGGAGAAGCAGACAGGCCAACCCAATATGGGTGATAAGCAACTTTTAGTTTATTTGTGACGCAGTTCACACATATATAGGAGTGGTATTCAGCCACTCCTTCGTGGCATAACAGTATTGGTTAACCCCCACAGCTTCCTCCACATTCTCCTCCCAGGTCCGGTCTCTGTCCACCTGTGGGGGCCACCCCCTGCCTTGCTTGCACAGTCCTCCAGAACTCTATGGTTCTGCTCTTAGAGTCATTCTGCAACACTTGCTGGGCAACACCTACACATGGTGAGCACCAGATAAGCCCCACCGACACGCCAACCTGCCCTTTCTTAGCCACCCAAAACTCCATCCCTCCACATGGAAGGGAACCAAGGAAAAGCTAGGCTGGAATGTGGGCATTGGCAGCAGCAGAATGGGAGGAAGCCCTGGGGTGGTGAGGCAGCAGGAGGCCTGTGCGAGAGGACCGCCGCTCCCCGGGGCTGAAGGACTGGGGAGCAGTGGGTCTGGACCCCAGCTGGGCACACTGTCCCCACCACAGTGGGGCGGTCATTGGCATCCATGAGGAATGGCTCAGGGAGATCCGAGAGGAGCCCAGATGTAAGCGGCGAGGAGAAGCAGACAGGCCAACCCAATATGGGTGATAAGCAACTTCTAGTTTATTTGGGACGCAGTTCACACACATATAGGAGTGGTATTCAGCCACTCCTTCTTGGCATAACAGTATTGGTTAGCCCCCACAGCTTCCTCCACATTCTCCTCCCAGGTCCGGTCTCTGGTCACCTCTGGGGGCCACCCCCTGCCTTGCTTGCACAGTCCTCCAGAACTCTATGGTCCTGCTCTTAGAGTCATTCTGCAACACCCAGAGGAAGGGGAGGGGGACAGAAAACAAAAGTGATGCGCAATACAATTGTTCATCCCCTGGGTGTCAAGGAGGCTGCCCAGCAGGATGCCAAGATGAAATTCCTGCAGAGCACCTTCACCCTGTGTGAAGCTGACAGAGACAGGGGCTTCTCACAATGCCTGAAGGAGTTCTACCACCAATTGCAGGTGGTAGAGACTATCAAGGTGAGGGGACAGCCGGTTGCTGTGGGGAAGGGGGCATGTTGCCAGGCACCAGCACACTGTCAGGACAGGGCACAGGCAGGGACCACCAAGGTGCCTGAGGGGCGGCGGGTGCCAGCGCAGCCCTGGCAGCTGGGATGCTGCCCAGCATCCCCCCCGTGCCAGACACACCTGAAGGCTGAACCCTGCTCCTGCAGCACGGTGCCCACCACGTCCTCGTTCTTCCAGTGCAGGGCGCAGCTGAAGGAGACCAAGCGAAGCAGAGCCGGGACGCTCAGGGCAGGGCTCAGGGGCCACCATGACAAGATGTCAGGTGCAGAGGGCCTGCGGGACTAGGTCCTTAGTCAGAGGCTTCCTCTTGGAAGCTCACTGCTGCAGCAGTCTGTGGGCTGTTGGCTGTGCAAGGTTGGGTGAAATGTCTTTAGTAACGCTTTGGAAGGCGCTGCCGTTGTCGAGGCCGAGTTTTGCTGAGGGACAGTGAAACGGAGATTCATGAACCACTTTATCCCATTTAAAATGCTTTCTCTTGCCCCCAAGGTAATCTACGGGTTTAAATTTTGCCTCGGAAAGGTTAGGGGCGTAATTCCTGTATTTGGCGCGTGGACATGGCCTCCGTGTGGAGATCTCTACATGCATGGCCAGACTGGGGAGATTCCTTGGCTGTACAAACCCTTCCCTGCTTGTCTTTCAAGCGACCACTTCTTCATGCAGGCTTGATGAAGCACTAGAGATAATCGTGTCGGAATTTAGCTTCTCACTGGCTATTAGCACTAACATGCCATTTATAAATCTGCAAAGGAGATGCTGAGTAAGAGCCTCAGAGGGTATTTCTTAACCCCCTTAGCACAACAGGATGGCTGTAGGTAAAAGACCCCGCATTACAGAAGCTTGATCTCAGCTGAAGTACAAGCTTAGTGCTGGGAAGGCCATTTCCTCCAAAGTCTTTTTCTGCAGCTCTCTGGTAGTGGGATCTTGATGGTATTGACCAACAAACAAGTGTACGTGCTTGCATTTCGTGTCCCGTTTGTAGGTGAGCAAGAGCATACGGTGAGCATCCAAATAAATAATCAGTATTGAGAGCTGGTTGGTTCTTGCCCGTGTCAACAGGAGCGTAACTCCCTGCGCGGCTGTTTCCTGACCAATGAGCTGACCTTTCCAAAGGGACATGTCCAGGCAGCAAGAGGCTGCTCTTGCTCCGTTGCTGTGGTTACGGCGCGGCAACAGTTCCCAGGGCGTAGGGAGCTCAGCTCCATGTTGTGGTTACAGCCCTGCGACAATTATGAGGACGTAGGTTGCTCAGCTCCGTTGGCTTGGCCACAGCTCTGTGAGCCTTGCAGCGGGCAGTAGAACTGCAGTGGCTGCTGCGTACACAGCGGGGCTGGAGAGCCGAGGCAGGAGCAGCGGCATCATGCTGGGCCAGAAGACGAACCTCAGCAGGCGCATCCGTGAGATGCGTGCCAGCATAGCCTTGCAAGGTGCTGCCCCCCCCGTTGGCTTTGCGTTATGGGCTGGGCCAAGTAGGGGGCTTTTGGTCCCCGCATCATCCTGCATGGTACCAACAGCTCCTCAATGTCCTGCAGGGCAAGCAAGGAAATTGTACAGCAAGCCACAGGAAGAGAAGTTCACGCAGAACCTGGAGCGGCTGCCCCAGCTGCGAGAGGCGGTGCAGGAGGATATCTATGTCCTGGGCCTTGCCCGCAAGGTACCGGCAGGTCCCATTTGCTGCCTCCGTGACCGTGACTCTGCTGGACGTGCAGAGCTAGCTTCTCCACTGGTCCTGTCCAGGAGCAGGGAGTGCAGGGCAGCAGGAGGCTGGGACCATCACTGCCCAGGCTGGCAGTGATGTGTTCTCTGCCCTTCTTCTGCCCACAGCATGAGCTCACCGTCGCTGAGGCTTGCGGAGCGGAGCAGCCCTTGGGCATTGCTTTGGCCAGTAAGCCTTTGGAGGTAATAGCAGGGTCCAGCGGGGCCAGGCTGCTGGCAGTGGGCTGGGCTTCAGGGGATGCTCAGAAGGAGCGGTTGGAGGGAACAGGCAGCTGGTGCCAGCACCAGGACAGCCCCACAGGGCTGGTGCAGTGAGACACGGGGCGTCCATGAGTGGTCCCGTGGGACCCTTTGCACTGCAGGACCCATCAGTGTCCTCCCCTAGCTCCCTGAGCAGGTCCTTTGCCCCAGCAGAGCTCCTGTCCCGCCAAGGGAGCGAGCAGGTCCCAGCATCCCCAGCTCTACCTTGGCAACGAGTTTTGCAGGCAGGACCCCTTCTCCCGTGGGTGCCCAGCGAGCCCTGCCTCCAGCCTGGCAAATGCTCACATCCCATGCAGGTGGGCCAGGAGAAGCTCCGGGCTGAAGTCTGTCGCCAGGTGAACACATGCAACATGCTGCTGTACCAGGTGGAGCAGCGGAGCCGGGCCAAGGAGCGGCTGCAGAGGCGGCTGCAGCAGCTGCAGGATGTCCAGAGGGCCGAAAAGCAGCAGCAGGCACAGGTCCCAGGGCCCCTCCCTGGGGTGGCAGCACCCGTGGGGGGTTTCAGTCAACCCTGCCCCCCTGGGTGGGCACTGGTCTCAGTAGATGGGCTCACCCCTTGTCTCCAACCTTCTCTGCCCCAGGTGGTTCGTACCCTGGAGGGCAACATAGAGAAGATACAAACAAAAGTCCGCGCTGGGCAGAAGGTGACTGCCCTGTACGTGGCGGTGCGGGATGCCCTGAGGAAGGTGAGCTCATCCTCACCGTGCCGTTGCCTCACCCGCTCCCCCTGCAAAGGCACTGAAGGGCCCAAGGGGCTGTGCTGGTGGGACACCCTCCTGCAGGAGGTCCTCCTGCTCCCCTCCACCTTCTGTCCCAGCACAAGGCACCCCTGGGACTCAGTGGGCTGTGGCTCCCCGTGTCCCAGGAGCTGGCCCACCTGCCTCTGCACCTGGACCTCCTGAGTGAGATGGCCGAGCTGCAGCATAGGGAGGTGGAAGACATGGAGCTCATGGCCTCGCGTGGGCTCAGAGCTGTTCGTGGAGCCAAGGTGAGACCATCGTCCAGGGCACCTCGGGGTGCTTTCCTGCCCTCCAGAGCCCACACATGGCACCAGATGGCCGTGCTGCTGAGTCTTCCTTCCTTCAAGAAAAAGCAAGACTGAGCTTGGCTTCCCCGCAGCACCCAGATGCCTCCATAGCTCCTCCTGTGTCTGGCTCTTGGGCCAGGCTGCCCTGAGCTGGGGACAGCTGCCTGAAGCCCTGGCCACGGGGAAGGTGGCGTTCTCCATCCTCTAGCTGGCCTTGCTCGCTTTCCTTCCCAGGCTGTTTACAGGGGGTAGGGGGTGGCACTTTTGATGCTGGCCATGCCAGGCTTAGAAGCTCACAGAGGTCCGCTGGAGCTTTGGGAGCCACTTCTCTTCTGCTCTGCTCTTCTCTGCTCTGCTCTTCTCCAGGAGCACATGGTCAGGACGAAAACCCGGTCCTTGCAGAGAGGGAGCTCAGGCTCCGCACCCAGGCTGCTCAGAAAGAGCCCACAGACGGAGGCTGGCTCAAGGAAGCAAAAGAAAGGGCTCTGAAAATGGTGAGCTGGGGGGCCCCGGCACAGGCAGGGTT